GTGACTTGAAACATATCCAAAAGTAAGAAAAAACAGCGATTTGGAAAATTTTCAATGCTAATATTGAACATTAAACTAAAACTAAGTGTGAGACTTTTGTAATTTTTGAAAATTTTTGTATCTTACACCCGAAGAGAACAAAAAACGTATACCTGGAAATATTTCGCTTCTTCAGATTTTTAAGACCGAAATTATAAAAAATTCTTGACTTGAAATTACCGAATTTTTAATCTTCTGTTCACCAAATTAAAAATGGCTCAAATGTGAAAATGAGAAACAATTTTTTTTGAGTTTACGATAGCAGGAACGAATTTTACAAAATGCTTGAGAAGTTTACAGTTCTGAGGTAACCTCATTTTTGATACAAAAATACTGAAAATTGACCGATGACAACGGTTTTGGATTTTTTCCATTAAAAATGAAATTTAGAATTTCCGAAAAATTTAGATTTTTTGTTTAATTTTCGATCTGTGACTTGAAACATCTCCAGAAGTAAGAAAAAACAGCAATTTGGAGAATTTTCAATGCCAATATTGAACATTAAACTAAATGTGAGATTTTTATAATTTTTGAAAATTTTTGTATCTTACACCCGAAGAGAACAAGAAATGTATACCTGGAAATATTGCGCTTTTTCAGATTTTTAAGACAGAAACTATAAAATGTTCTTGACTTGAAATTACCGAATTTTTAATCTTTTGTTAACCAACTTAAAAATGGCTCAAACGTGAAAATGAGAAACCATTTTTTTTTTAGTTTAGGATAGCAGGAACGAATTTTTTAAAATCCTTGAGAAGTTTACAGTTCTGAAGTAACCTCATTTTTGATACAAAAATACTGAAAACTGACCGATGACAACAGTTTTGGATTTTTTCCATTAAAAATGAAATTTAGAATTTCCGAAAAATTTAGAATTTTTTTTAATTTTCGATCTGTGACTTGAAACAACTCCAAAAGTAAGAAAAAACAGCAATTTGGAAAATTTAAAATGCCAAAATTAAAATTTAAACTAAATGTGAGACTTTCGTAATTTTTGAAAATTTCTGAATCCGACACACGAAAAGAAAAAAAGTATGTACCTGGAAATATATTTTTTTTCAGATTCTTGAAACTGAAACCATAATGAAATAGGGTAACTTGAAATTTACGGAATTTTAAATTGTTTATTAAACAAATTAAAATGGCTCAAATGTGAAAATGAATAACATTTTTTTGGAAGTTTAAGAAAGCAGGAATGAATTTTATAAAACGCTTGAGAAATTTTACAATTCTGAAGGATCCCCATTTTTGACACAAAAATACTGAAAATTGACGGATGACAACGACTTTGGATTTTTCGAAGAATTTCGATTTTATTTAATTTTCAATACGTAACTTGAAACACATCAAGTAAGAAAAAACAGCAGTTTGGAAAATTTTAATTGTCAAAATTAAAAGTTGAACTAAATGTGAGACTTTAAAAATTTTTTGAAAATTCCAGTATCCCACACAAAAAATGAAAAAATTAGAGTACCGAGAAATATTTCATTCTTTCCAAAATGGCGCGAATGTGAAAATGAAAAAACAAACGAAGTTTAATACTTGTGTAGTTGAGATATTTACAGTCCAAAAAATTATTGATTAAAAGATATTGAAAATTAAACGATTACAACAGTTTTCATTTCTTAAAATTTCTAAAACGTAGCCTGAAACAATTTCAGACAACAATTTTGAAAATTATAGATGCTAAAATTTAAGTTAAATTAAATAGAAGACTCATACTTTTTGAAAAGTTTTGTATCTGACAGATGAAAATAAAAAATCAAAGAACCGAAAAATATTTGGCATTTTTCAGTTCTTGGAACTAAAACTAAATTTATAAGATATGTTGACTTAAAATTTACGGAATTCTGAATTGTTGTATCAAACAAATTAAAAATGGCGCGAATGTGAAAATGGGAAAAAATAGAGTTTAATATAATAACAATTCTATAATTTTTAAAACATAACTTGTAAACAACTTCAAAAGTGTGAAGAAGCAACAATTTTGAAAATTTAAAATTAAGCTAAATAGGAAACTTGAAATTTTCGAAAAGGTTTATATTTGACACAGGAAAAGAAAAAATTAAGGTACCGAGACATATTTTGCGTTTTTCAATTCTTGGAACTAAACTATAGAACATTTTATAAAATCTGGTAACGAAATTTTGATTTTTTTTTGTTGAACAAATTAAAAATGGAGCGAATGTGAAAATGAGAAAATAATTAAAAATTAATATAACAATTTGATAATGTACTGAAAAATCCATATATTCGATTCAAAAATACTGAAAATTAAACGATTACAACAAATTTGAATTTTTTTCAGTTAGAAATGAAATTTCCGAAAAATTTAGATTTTTTTTAATTTTTAAAAAATAAATTGGAACAACTTCAAAAGTTTGAGAAAAGAACAATTTTGAAAATTCGAGATACCAAAATTTAAAATTAAATTAAATAGGAGACTTTCGTAATTTTTGAAAAGTCATGCTTGCCACAGGAAAAGAAAAAAATCAAAGTACTGAGAAATATTTCGCTTTTTCCAATTTTTGGAAGTGAAAATATAGACATTTTTATAAAATCGGGTGACTTAAAATTTACCGGATTTTGTTTTTTTTTGTCGAACAAATTAAAAATGGCGAGAATGTGAAAACTAGAAAAAAATCAAAGTTCAATACATATAACAAGAACGAATTTTATAATCTACTTGAGATATTTACAGTCCTGAAAAATCCACATATTTGTTAAAAAATATTGAAAATTAAACGATTACAACAGATTTGGATTTTTTCAGGTAGAAATGAAATTTGAAATTTTCCTAAAATTTCGATTTTAAAAATTTTTGAAACAATTTGAAACAACTTCAACAGGAGACTTTAATAATTTTCGGAAAGCTTTATATCTGACACAGGAAATCCAAAAACCTGGTGTCTTAAAATTTAGGGAATTTTTAGTTTTTTTGTCAAACAAATTAAAAAGGGCGCGAATGAGAAAATGTGAAAAAAAAAACAAAGTTTAATATAACGGGAACAAATTTTATTAAATGTAATTGCGATATTTACAGACCTAAAAAATCCAGAAATTTGATTAAAAATGTTAAAAATTAAACGATTACAACAGATTTGGATTTTTTCAGTTAGAAATGAAATTTGGAATTTTCCTAAAATTTCGATTTTAAAAATTTTTGAAACAATTTGAAACGACTTCAAAAGTGTGAAAAAAACAACAATTTTGAAAGTTCTAGAAGCCAAATTTTAATGTTAAACTCACCAGGAGACATTCATAATTTTCGGAAAGCTTTATATCTGACACAGAAAAACCAAAAACCTGGTGTCTTAAAATTTAGGAAATTTTTAATTTTTTTGTCAAACAAATTAGAAATAGCGCGAATGTGAAAATGTGAAAAAAAAAAGTTTAATATAACGGGAACAAATTTTATAATGTACTTGCAATATTTACAGACCTGAAAAATCCACATATTTGATTAAAAAATGTTAAAAATTAAACGATTACAACAGATTTGATTTTTTTCAGTTAGAAGTGAAATTTGGAATTTTCCTAAAATGTCGATTTTAGAAATTTTTGAAACATAATTTGAAACAACTTCAAAAGTGTAAAAAAACACCAATTTTGAAAGTTCTAGAAGCTAAAATTTAATGTTAAACTCAACAGGAGACTTTCATAATTTTCGGAAAGCTTTATATCTGACACAGGAAATCCAAAAACCTGGTGTCCTAAAATTTAGGGAATTTTGAATTATTTTGTCAAACAAATTAAAAATGGCGCGAATGTGAAAATGTGAAAAAAAAAACAAAGTTTACTATAACGGGAACAAATTTTATAATGTACTTGCGATATTTACAGACCTAAAAAATCCACAAATTTGATTAAAAAATGTTAAAAATTAAACGATTACAACAGATTTGGATTTTTTCAGTTAGAAATGAAATTTGGAATTTTCCTAAAATTTCGATTTTAGAAATTTTTGAAACATAATTTGAAACAACTTCAAAAGTGTAAAAAAACACCAATTTTGAAAGTTCTACAAGCTAAAATTTAATGTTAAACTCAACAGGAGACTTTCATAATTTTCGGAAAGCTTTATATCTGACACAGGAAATCCAAAAACCTGGTGTCTTAAAATTTAGGGAATTTTTAATTTTTTTGTCAAACAAATTAAAAATGGCGCGAATGAGAAAATGTGAAAAAAAAAACAAAGTTTAATTAACGGGAACAAATTTTATAATGTACGTGCGATATTTACAGACCTGAAAAATCCACATGTTTGATTAAAAAATGTTAAAAATTAAACGATTACAACAGATTTGGATCTTTTCAGTTAGAAATGAAATTTGGAATTTTCCTAAAATTTCGATTTTAAAAATTTTTGAAACAATTTGAAACAACTTCAACAGGAGATTTTAATAATTTTCGGAAAGCTTTATATCTGACACAGGAAAACCAAAAACCTGGTGTCTTAAAATTTAGGGAATTTTGAATTATTTTGTCAAACAAATTAAAAATGGTGCGAATGTGAAAATAAGAAAAAATCAAAGTTTAAGATAACAGGAACGAATTTTATAATGCACTTGAGATATTTACAGTTCTGAAGAATCCACGTATTTGATACAAAAATACTGAATATTATACGGTTACAACGATGTTTGCCAATTAAAAATGAAATTGGGAGTTTCCGAAAAATTTCGATTTTTAAAATTTTTAAAACAACTTGAAACATGTTGAAAAATCTAAAAAACAACTATTTTGATAGTTGTAGATGCCAAAACAATAGGAAATTTTATACAATTTCCGAAATTTTTATTAATAACAAAATCCACAAGCCACGAACTTCGAAGAAATCGTTCGATTTATTTCTGGCAAGACAGCTCGCATGCGTTCACCGTCTCACCACTGTAATCAATGGAAATCCCATCACTCAAAATAGAATTCTTCACACTAACGATATGATATCAAAGTCGTCAAACTCCACACTCGTTACACACACGCATTTTGTATGTATTTCCCCAGAACAATTATCATCAATTCAATTTACTCTAATTCGCGATCTCTTAGTCTTACGATCAAGGCCACTAATCTGTCCATTTCTTCCTGTCCACTTCACCATAATTAAACCACATTTCCATGAATAACGCCATTCTATCGTAGATCCCCAACTCTGGTTTACCCATTTCCATTATGACCTCACACTCGGTTATTTTTTCCCATCGTTCTCCCTCTTATCTGTTTACTTTTTGCATTGTACCGCTTCTCAGTCTGCTAAATTTATCGCAACCGAACACAGGTTTTGTTTATCCTTAGATACTCGAATCAAAGCTAATACAAGTTTTTAGTCTCGTGTTTGTACAGTTGTCAGATTTCCGTGTTTGTTTATTATTCGTGATAAATTGTTGTTTGCCGATTATTATTGAATACATGGTGATAATTAATTAGTGTGAGTGTGACCGTCGTGCAGAATGGAGTCCAAAAAAGAAGTTCTGTACAGTAGGCTGAAAAAGCAGAAGTCGCTAGAAATCCCGAACGAGAGGTATGTTGGTTTTTGGTTTTTCGTGTTTCGGATTTCCGCCTAAGTGATTTTCTTAGCATGATTGCTGGTAAAGTATAGATGAAAAATCCTTGACTTTTCGGACTCATGAATTTTTGCAATTATATAATCTGAAATAGAAAAAATGGTATTGTAAACATGCTTATTAAAGATTAATGATGAGGGATAACCGGTTTTTGAATCCAGGATCGTGACTTAAAATACCGGGAGGCTTGGAGAGTGTTCCGGAAGTCTCAACTCCCATTTTTTGACTTATGCGGTAAAAATTGAGTTTAACTAAAAAAACTTGGAAAAAGGTAACTCAAGGGTCAAACCTCCGTCCTTCCACGTTTCTTATTTTTGTGGTATCCAACTGTGAAACATTGCTTTATGCGGATGATGTCAAGATTTTCAAACGTGTTGATTCGCTTGAAAAAAATAGTCATTTGGAGTTTAATAAACAAGTTAGACATCAATTATAAAAATTTTAATTGTTTCATTCAGTCGCCGAAAAAAAAATGTGTTTTAATTACACTATAAACTTTAATTATCGTTAAAAAAATGTTTAGTTAATTTGATTTGTTTTATTATAATTACTGGTTTTCACTCTTATTAGGCTGTTTTCATTTTTTTTTATTGTAATGTGTTATGTTAATGGATTATTTTTTTAACAGTTGTTATGTTTAAGAATGAATGAATGAATTATTTATTATTGTTATTACAAGTAATTCAATGTTCTCAAGGTCTCTAAGAACTTCATAATAAAAAAAATGTTGACGATGTTGTCAAGCCTATTTTTTGTCTTAGTTTTGACTATATCACGATATTGCTAGTACCATCATTTCAAAAGTTCAGACCTTATAAAAAAATCAAAACTTTCTCCAAGGTCATTAGTTCCTAGATTTTTAAATTTAAAATTTTTCATTTCGTTAATTTTGCAGTTAATTTTTCGATTTTTCAACTTTTGGAGTGTTCGATTTTACCAATTTTTTTTTTATTTTAATGTTTGGCAATTTAAATGTTTCGATTTCTAATTTCTCAATTTTAAATTTTATTTTTAAATTTTTAATACTGATAACTTCTAAAATTTTACAAAATTTCTATTTTCGATTTCTCAATTCTGCGATTTTTCGTTTCCGATTTATCGATTTACAATTTTTCGATTTTTCAATTTTTTACTTCTCAATTTTTCCTTTTTCAACTTTTGAATTTTTCAGTTTTTCGATTTTAATTTTTTTGCTGCTTCAGTTTTATTATTTCTGATTTTTCAGTGTTTCATTTCTTCAATTTTTCCAGTTGCAATTAAGTTTTTCATTTTTAAATTTTCAGTGGTTCAATTTCTGAAGTTTTCAGTTTAATAAATTTTAATTTCTTTTTATTTTATTTTTCCGTTTTTACAATTTTTAGAATTCTGTTCGGTAATTTCAGTATTTCGATTTCTAGATTCTCGATTTTTAAATTTTTGATTTTTAAACTATAACATATGGTAATAATTTTGTTATAAACTTTAATTTTACAAAATTTCCATTTCTTGATTCCTTAATTTTACGGTTTTTCTTTTAGATCTTCCTATATTTTTAAATTTCTGTTTTTTCATTTTTTCGTTGCTTCAGTTTTTTTTGAATTGCAATTAATTAAATTTTCTAGTTTTAAACTTTTGAAATTTTCAGTTTCTCGATTATTAATTTTTCAATATTTCGATCTATAATTTTTCAATTTTTATATTTTATTGTAATTTTTCGACAATTCAGTCTTTTGTTTCATCAAGTTTTCAGCTTATGAAGTTTTTTAATTTTTAGAGATTTTAATTTAACAATTTTTTTCGATTTTAAGTTCCTAGATATTTAAATTTTCAATTTTTCATTTCGTTAATTTTCCAGTAAATTTTTGGATTTTTTCTATTCTTTGATTTCTCAATTCTGCCATTTTTCGTTGCTGATTTATCGATTTGCAATTTTTCTAGTTTTTAATTTCAAATTTTTTGATTTTTCAATTTTTTACTTTTCAATTTCTCGGTATTTCAATTTTGGATTTTTAAAGTTTTTGGTTTTTAGTTTTTGAGTTTTTTCATTTTATTATAGTTGTTAAATTGTAAAATTTTTCTATTTTTCTATTTTTCAGTTTTTCGATTTTCATTTTTTTGTTTCCTCAGTTTTATTATTTTTGATATTCCATTTTTTCGTTTCTTCAATTTTTCGAGTTGCAATTAAGTTTTTCAGTTTTGGACTTTTGAAATTTTTCTTTTCTCAGTTTAAAATTGTTCAGTATATCGATCTGATTTTTCCATTTTCATATTTTATCATAATTTTGGATATTAATATCAATTGTAAAACTTTTCAATTTTTGGATATACCGCTTTTTTTAGAACTTCCTATACATATTTTTAAATTTCTGATTTTTCAATTTTTCGTTGCTTCAGTTTTTCCAATTTTAATTAAATTTTCTAGTTTTAATCTTTTGAAAATTTCAGTTTCTCAATTTTTAATTTTTCAGTTTTTATATTACATTGTAATTTTTCTACATTCCAGTTTCTTGCTTCTTCAAGTTTTCAATTTATGAATTTTTAAATTTTTTGAGGTGCAATTTTGGGAGATTTCAATTTTACAATTTTCCTTTTGGATTGTTAGTTGCTATAGCTTAAAATTTTCAATTTTTCGATTTTCATCTTTTTTTTTCTTCAATTTTATAATTTTTGACTTTTCAATTTTTCATTTCTTCAATTTTTCGAGCAGCAATTAAGTTTTTCAGTTTCTCAATTTAAAATTTTTCAATATTTCGATTCATGATTTTTCAATTTTCATATTTAATTATAATTTTTCGATACCCAAGTGTAAACTTCTCAATTTTTGGATATTTCAGTCTTTTGCGTCTTCAGTTTTTCAACCAACGAATTTTCAATTTGTCGAGTTGCAGTTTTTCGAAATTTTAATTTTATAATTTTTTTCTGGATTTTTAGTTCCAGATTTTTAAATTTTCATTTGTTCAATTTAACATTTTTTTAATTTCAATTTTCCGCTTATACGATTTTTAGAATTCTAATATTTCTAATGTTTGGTGATTTCAATATTTGGATTTCGAGATTCTCGTTTAAGTTTTTGATTTTTAAACTTTTAATTATAGGTATTAACTTTTACAATTTTACAAAATTTCCATTTTTTGATTTTTCAGTTTTTCGTTTCTGGTTTATCGGTTTGCAATTTTTCCGCTTTTCAATTTCAACTTTTTCGATTTTCCAGTTTTCAGATTTTTCAATCTTAATTTTTAAAAATTTTCTAGTTTTAGTTTTTCAATTTTTATAATCTATTATAATTTTTCAATATCAATTGTAAAATTTTTCAATTTATCCCTTTTTTGTTTCTTCAGTTTTTTCAATTTTTGGAGTTTTCAATTTTACGGTTTTTCTTTTAAATCTTCCTATATTTTTAAATTTCTGTTTTTTCATTTTTTCGTTGCTTCAGTTTTTTTGAATTGCAATTAATTAAATTTTCTAGTTTTAAACTTTTGAAATTTTCACTTTCTCGGTTTTTAATTTTTCAATATTTCCATCTATAATTTTTCAATTTTTATATTTTATTGTAATTTTTCGACAGTTCAGTCTTTTGCTTCTTCAAGTTTTCAGCTTATGAAGTTTTTTAAATTTTCGAGATTTTAATTTTACAATTTTCTTCGATTTTAAGTTCCTAGATATTTAAATTTTCAGTTTTTCATTTCGTTAATTTTGCAGTAAATTTTTGGATTTTTTCTATTCTTTGATTTCTCAATTCTGCTATTTTTCGTTGCTGATTTATCGGTTTGCAATTTTTCTAGTTTTTACTTTTCAATTTCTCGGTATTTGAATTTTGGATTTTTAAAGTTTTTGGTTTTTAGTTTTTGAGTTTTTGCATTTTATTATAATTGTTAAATTGTAAAATTTTTCAATTTTTCAATTTTTCAGTTTTTCGATTTTCATTTCTTCAATTTTTCGAGTTGCAATTAAGTTTTTCATTTTTGAACTTTTGAAATTTTTAGTTTCTCAGTTTAAAATTTTTCAGTATTTCGATCTGATTTTTCCATTTTCATATTTTATCATAATTTTGGATATTAATATCAATTGTAAAATTTTTCAATTTTTGAATATACCGCTTTTTTTAGAACTTCCTATACATATTTTTAAATTTCTGATTTTTCAATTTTTCGTTGCTTCAGTTTTTCTAATTTCAATTAAATTTTCTAGTTTTAATCTTTTGAAATTTTCAGTTTCTCAATTTTTAATTTTTCAGTTTTTATATTTCATTGTAATTTGTCTACATTCCCAGTCTCTTGCTTCTTCAAGTTTTCAATTTTTCGAGATTTCAATTTTATAATTTTCCTTTTCGATTTTTAGTTGCTATAGTTTCAAATTTTCAATTTTTCGATTTTCATTTTTTTGTTTCTTCAATTTTATTATTTTTGACTTTTCAATTTTTCATTTTTTAGAATTCTAATATTTCTAATGTTTGGTGAATTCAATATTTCGAGTTCGAGATTCTCGTTTAATTTTTTTGATTTTTAAACTTTTAATAATAGTAATAATTGTTACTAGCTTTTACAATTTTACAAAATTTCCATTTTTTGATTTTTCAGTTTTTCGTTTCTGGTTTATCGATTTGCAATTTTTCAACTCTTCATTTTAAAATTTTTGCTATTGGTTAATTTTTCAATTTTTCAATTTTTAGATGTTTTGATCTTAAATTTTAAAAATTTTCGGTTTTAGAGCTTCCTATATTTTTAAATTTCTAATTTTTCAATTTTTCGTTGCTTTTTTGTTCCTTTTAGAGCTTAATATATTTTCAAATTTCTAATTTTTCAATTTTTCGTTGCTTCAGTTTTTCAAATTGCAATTAAGTTTTCAGTGTCTTAATTTTTAATTTTTCAATTTTTGTATTTTGTTATAATTTTTCTATATTCCAGTTTTTTGCTTCTTCAAGTTTTCAACTTATGAATTTTGAAATTTTTTGAGGTACAATTTTTCGAGATTTCAAATT